GTCCAGTCCGGCTATCTCAAAACCTTTTCTCGACAAGCATTCCATGTCATTGAAGATGAAATGAAAATCCTCAAGCAGTAGCCTAAGCCACACGTAAAAGTTTGAAGATTTTCGTGGACAGTGTATGCGAAGAAACGAATCGAATGTGGGAAGTGCTGGGATCCGCATTGTATATCAACATACCCTTCCAGGCTCTGAAGAAGGCGATACTGCCGAAACGTCAGCTAGTGTTGTATTGTATTGTGTTCTTCTATGGAAGTATATGTATGCTGTTTTAGCTGTATTTTTCTCCACTTCTGCAACTAAAGACAATGACTATCCATGCTGAGATTAAGTGAAAGTCGATGGTGTCCCAGCGACTTCGAAAAAATGTACTGTTTTTCGTAAGATTTTTGAACCAACTCTTCGTACAGTTGAGAACCGATATCAAACAAAAGCAGGTGTTCCTCGAGCACCGAGCTGTTGTGCTATGCAAAGACGTTTTTTAGGTCGACACTATTCTTCTTTGATCGATATGCTGACAACAAATCTAGTCCGGAAGACTAACACCATCGATTCGCAACTGCAAAGTGCCAAAGTGCTGAGTATTTAAATTCGCAGAAAACCGCTACCTTGACCCTCAGATGATCTGATTCCAGATATTGAATAGCCTTGAGCTTCTTTTGTTGTTTCGATCCATGAAAGAACGTCACCCATAAAGATAGCCGTGAAAACATTGCTATGACTTGAGGATCTAGCATTTTCTGTCCTGATTAAGATGTGAAATAACGGTTGAACGTGGTTTTGCCTCGAACTCTTAAATGACGGTGGATTTAACCGGTCATAGCTTTTATCACCGGTTTGCTAAGCTTTGAAAAACATAGTGCAGATTGCCGCTTTAGGCCTTTTATTTATTCACGAGAGCAGTAGGGACTATGACTATCGATGGCAGTGTAGCAAGTAGCATAATTTATAGTGTAGAACGGTTACGTCTTCGTGCTCAAGACAACAAAACAAAACAGCCCAGCTTATGCTTCGTAACACTGTTTCTTCCTTCCTTTCACCTTTCGTAGTGCACAGTTGACGTGTATCGATAACTACCTTGAACAGTTTTACGTTCGGTACTATTTCGAACTTGTATGATAAACAACTAAACAAGCAGTTTTTACTTGATTCCAAAATAAGATTGACAACCAGAAATAAACAACAATCTGCATTTGAAGACGAAGCCGTAAACAATCAACAGTAGTGCCAATTTAAAGCATATAACGATAAAGACCGTATGGACGTGTGGGAACTCCACTTAGAAACATCAAAGAACGAAACACTCATGGAACAGCTTCCAGGAACAATTTTAAGAGTTTAATAGTTTTTCTTAGATATAGTAGAAAGGGTTAAAACTAGAAGAGATTGTCACTTCTTTTGGTTAATACTGTAATGTTTTTACTACATCGCCCGTCATCACACCTACCGTGCGCATCACACTTCTTGGATTCAATTCGTTTTCTATGCATTCATCTTCCACAATGCTCTTCAAACATTTCGCATATGGTCTCTGCTGCTGCTTGAAGAATTCCTCTTTTTCATGAATATCCCAAGATCCTGGTCCAGTCGGTTCTCTCCTGGAAACTTGAAGGTAGTTGAGCGAAGGCGTTCGCACGTGAGTTGAAAGAGTACGTTAGAGGAGTCGAACCAGCGCTTCGCCCCATTGTAGATAGACTGCATCACTAACCACCACTCGTCTATGTGGTACAGATATGTCTAAAAAGAATCATCTAAACGAACACCATATGACTAAACGAACAAAAGGCAATTGAAAGTTTGAAATAATGAATTACTCTCAGAAATCAATGACGGAAAATATAAAGGATGAAAAGGATAAAGCTCTTGGCATTAATAAATACCTGAGGGATGCGCCATGCATTCGACTTCACTAAGCATCATTGGAGGTAACTGGATGCATATTTGGCCTCTACAATGACTCACGATGGTATACCGATGCATCGAGTCAGTACTGCTATCCTGCCAGACAGGTCTGCTATCAGTTACCGACCGAGGAGGGATACAGGGCTTGGTACACCTGTGGCGCGGTGATCGATCCAATGCATATTGGAGGGAACCTCCGACTGAATCACACAGAAAGGCAAAACTTTAGATTGCATCAGTAGAAAAACAACACATAATAAAGTGTTCCTTCATAGACTCCTTAACTATCTAGCGATTACAGCAGTCACTTCAATCTCTATTAATTCCAGCTTCCATCTATAGGAATTGTCTATAGGTTAGACCTATAGACCCTACAGGGCAGATATCCGTAGAGTTCTGAAAATTAAATTCACTTATTGACAACATTAATAACACTATAAGAAGTCTAGAACACCTCTTCTAACAGCCAATCGTTGCTAAGACCGAAGATCAAAACGCTTCCGATGTGATCGTAGTAGAAGAGACAAAATGTAAGAAAACCCTCACACCTGAAAATGACGAATTCTGGCCTAAGAGTTCTTATCAGCACTCTCAATCTTGAATTGCTGCACTTGGAAAAGGTCAGTATCATCAATTACTGCTCACTAATCTGTCCAGCTGTCACATATCTACGATGATAGACGGATTTTGAGAATACCTTCTGAATTATAGTTGAACGTGATGAAAATATTCCACCTGGATACGAGAAAATAGCACTCCCGTGGCCGTCAACCCCCACCTCTCACAAGGATCAGTGTGTTTTTTTAATAGAAACATTTCTGTTCGATTCTTATATGGAAGAAGATCCGATCCGACTGCCAGAGTACTTGACGAAAACCATAGAAGAAGGATATGATGCTCAACGTGTCCCTAGAGCGAGCAGAACACAATGGACTACTCCTGGACGCGACAGGGAGAAAATGCAACCTCTACTGAGCGTGTTGAAGTCATTCGACGATCAGCGGGACGATAGACGACGTGATGGGAGATCTCTCATTATTTTGCTCTTTGGTAATAGTGGATCATTGTGGAGGACCGTGAACTTTTGGCACACAAGCTAAAAAACATCGTTGTTATAACACTAGGAATACCCAGATGAGCATCAAACCCAATGTGGTTCACATAGCCTATGTGGGATTTTCACCTGATAGACATTAACAATATATAATACAATGAGGTTTATAACTGAGCCTTATACAAGATAAAAGGGCAAAGGATAAAGCTCTCAGTGTTGATAAATCCCTGAGGGATGCGTGATGGATTCGACTTCATTAAGTATCGTTTGGAGGTAATTAGATGCATATCTGGCCTTTATAATGACTTGCGGTGGCCTACCGATGTATCGAGCCAGTGCTGCTATCCTCGCAGGCAAGTCTGGTGCCAATTTACCGACGCCTTAGGGATAAAGGGCTTGGCTGGCCATGGGCACGGGAATCGATTTCACGTGCGTGTTGCAGAGCGCCTTCGACCACTGCGCCACACGCGCCCCTTTATACAACATAGAATCTGTGTATCTGTAAGTGCTTAATAAATCTTAAATTGAACAGGGAGAGAATTTGAGCTCGGAATTTTTCAGTACAGAGAGATTAGAAACGGAATAGAAAACATTCATATTTTCAATACTGCATTTGCGGGCGGATGTATGAACAGACATCTGACCTAGGTTCAAATAAAAAGTAAAATATTCCCCTCCTATGGATTACTAATTGCATCTGGGAGTGTTCCTACGGGTGTCGAGCGACAAGGCACAACGCGGGGAGGAAAGGTCATCCAAAGGATGATATTTTTATTCCGATACTCAACTAATTCAAGACCACTAACTACCTATAACAACGGCCATATTTCAATTAAAACTTAATTGCAAAGTGGTAAACCTTTCCCTGACGTACAATAACGTGGAAGAGCTTTGGTATGATTGTCTTCAATTCTATGGGAAAAATTTCTTTCCTACAGGTAATTTACACGTTAATTAGAAATTGATCGCATGATTCTTTGCGAAGATCGGCTCTTTTTCCATGGATCCAAGCTCGCTGTGATCTCCGATATTTGTCTTGCATAGGAAGCTTTCCTAGTTTATAAATCAGAGCTATCTCAAACCAGAGTAGTTTTTTTGCCAATTGTTTTCTCTTCATTTGAACTTCCAGATGGAAATTTCGTGCTTAATTTAGCCTATTAGATCACCCTCATGTCGTGCCCAACAGTGGTACTACTAGCCATTATCAAAATTCACCTATTAAGTTCACATCACAATAAATAGTTGGGAAAAACTGAAAAAAAAATCCTCATATAATTAAATCCTCGAGCGTCTCAAAGCTTGAATTTCGGAAAATGATGTTAGAAACTTGTTACTTGATACTTACTTGATACTTGATCGGCCCGTCCTCACTAGATGTGCGGGCCCCAGCATAATCACCATTTTTCGGAGATTTGCTGGTTAAGACATTGTGGTTCCCTGGAATCCTGAGGACAGCGTGGCTAAAGTCCATCCCAGGTCTTCACCACCACAGACAGTCGCAGCTGTTATGGATCAGAGGGAGATTTGCCACCATGCGACTTTGATACCAGGACGGTAGTGGATCCTGGTATTGGTTAACTCCTAGCTAGGCTTCCTGATGGAAACGCCGGACTCCTCAGCTTGGGAGATCCAGCCGAGAGGACGGATCCCCACGCTGTACATCGCAGTCCGACACCCAGGAACACCTTCCAGCCACGATGAGGCGGTAAACCGTTGGGATAATCAGAAAGTATTGAGTGTATGACAGCAAGAATAACCGATCCTCTTAGTCTTGGGTTTTGATTTACCCCATTTCATTTGAACAAATATACATTTCAAACGGATGGCCATTAAGAGCTTGATGGTGACGCCACAATTTCCCGCCAAAGCGGGAGGCGCAACGAGCAGACTCGACCCCATGGGTTATGGGCGTCATCTTGAGCGACGCCTGTACTCAGTGCGAGTTGGCATTTCAAGTAGCAATTCCCAGTAATCGACTAATTTAGCTAATATTTCATATTTGACAATCCTCGCTCAGTGAGAGTTCTTCATCGTCGTTGAGATGGCAGACGCTACTCCAGCTACCCCTCACGAGAAGAAGGTAAGATGCTTTGTTTTCTATCATGTGTTTTTATTAGTTCCCGGGTAATCCTAAGTATCACTTAAATTTGCTTAGAAAGTCAAACCTAAGGGTGAGAAGAAGCCGAAGACAGTTCCATCGCATCCCGTTTATGCTGCCATGATTAAGGCGGCCATTAAGGAACTTAAGGATCGCAAAGGAGCCTCAAAGCAAGCTATCTCGAAGTTTATCCAGCAGAAATACAAGCTCAGTGATAATGACAAGAAGGTTAATTAAAGACAGGAAAATGTTTGATTACTAATAACAGTTCCTAATATAGCAATAGTTATCGTTTCTAATAGGACACAACGAAATATTCAATGAACTTTCAGATCAATGCCCATCTTCGTATGGGTCTTAAGAAAGGTGTTAGCAGTGGAACACTCAAACAAACTAGTGGAAGCGGAGCTAGCGGCCGATTCCGTTTGGCCGAAAAAGGCGAAGGCGCTGAAAATGTGAAGCCAAAGGTCGCCAAGAGATCGAAGTCGGCCGGATCACCCAGAAAAGCGGCAGCGAAACCAAAAAAGGTCAGGAAAGAAAAAGTGGGTTGCTATGATAGTTGAGAGTAACGTTGTTTAACATAGGAAAGAGCAAATGTAATACGAATTCTACAGTGAACAGGATAGTAACAGAGTATTAGTTCTCCAGTGCGATTCAATTCCAGTTGTTAAGGCTAAGACTCCAAGAAAATCGAAGTCCCCGAAGAAGGCTGCCAAGTTGTTGTCGCCGAAGAAGTCGATTGTTAAGAAAACCACGAAGCCGAAATCTCCGAAAAAGCCAACCGTAAAGAAAGCAGCTGCTCCGAAAGTGTAATCCACCGTTCTTATGTTGCCATGATCTCATGTATTTCTTCTGTGAATCCGTTGAGTGGGTATTTTAACTCATTTCTGGTTAGATTGAACCACTAATGTTCGGACCTAATAATAAAGTGTTGGTGATAGTATAGCTCATAGAAATAGGATGAAAGACAACTATGAATGTTCTAGGATGAAATCGAGATAGAACATTGCAAGAAAATGCAAAAAGTGGCTAAAAACATGCTTCATAAGATGCTGCTAACCGACTTGGCCAATCAATTAGCCGGTCTATTGATTGAGGAGGCCGATTGAACGCGATTGCGAGCTAAGTAGGTACAGATACAACCCTCTGTTCTATGCACTATGAAGGTAACAGAAAAAATCGATATCTCAGTCGAAGGGGATCAATTAGAGGGTTTTTCGCGAAATGAGATATGGTCGTGATCTGTCCGTTACAGGAGTGACATACCAAAGGCTATATTAGGCAATTCTTCCAGTGACGGTATGGTGACCCAAGAATAACGGGCTGGATTTCGATCAAGTGGACTGCAGTCGATTTTCCTAGGCTGTAGACCGATTGTATCTACCTATCTTGAAAAGAAGGACTTTATTTTTCGTTCGCAAAGAAATCGATTAGGGTGCGGATTGATTTCATGTGTACTGCAGTGCGCCTCTGACCGTTACGCTACATGCGCGCAATATTCTGTAGAGAGAATTTTCTATGTGGAGTGTTGAAAGATAAGAGTGTGTGCGTTACTCAAATATGGGAACACCTGCTTCGTCATTACAATACATATATGCTTATTCGCAACTGTCTTGTAGTAATTTCAAATAGTATAAAATGCTGTGGGCAGGAACAGAATCCCTTTGATCGGGTTGGAGGTTGTGGCAACAAAAATCGATCACAAGACCAATGTCGCATGTGTTGCTTCACGAAAGAGCTTCATTTCTCTGCAAATTCCACGCTGAACAGCACTGCGTGAAAATGAATGGAGTATTTGTAACGCTTAGCAACGTAGATGCCTAGGTGTTCTGTACTCATCGGTTTTTTGTGTCGCAGTACTTCGCTCATTCCTTTCCATGACTCTGTTCGAACCACAGTCCATGAACAGGTCGAAATTGTCGCTGTTCGAGATAGTGATTTTGCTCAAATAACGTTTATTTTGCAAAGGTTAACGTTTCGGTGGATTTCACCTTCTACGGGTATCCAACTATAGGATTTTATAACTATAACGGAAAGTTAGGGTGCGTGAAATGCATTAGTTAGACATACGCTGCAAAACACAAAAGGTCGCCGGTTCGTTTCCGCGTCTCGGCGCAGCAAACATTCTATTCCTCCTGAGTCTTTGAATTGCCATACTGATCTAGCAGGACAGCGTACATCGGTTGACTACCGTAAATCACTGCTTAGACCAAATATGCATTCAATCATCTCTGCGCTTTGAAGTCGAATTACTGGCTCATTCCTAAGGAATTGATCAGAACAAATAATTCATTCTTTATCCTTTTAATACTAGTCTTGCATCGGAATAAAATATGGAGGGTTGTTTATTTAGAAATGTTTCTATAGAAGGTTTTTCAGATTGATGTACATCTAACTGTGCAAAGAATTCGAACTGCACTACTGAAATAGCACTAATTACATTCTTAAGTATATTGCCGATTTATAGACGAATCCTGATGTCCATTTATTGAGTAAGTCCGAAAATCATATTTTTCAACGAGAATCTTGAACAGACTTTAATAAAGTCTTAAAAGCGTCAGACGACAACATGCCGAACATTCTGAACATTAACATCCTCTCACAAAGAGAAGCTTTACTCCTACAAATTAACTAGATTCTAATGAATAATATGCTGAAGAAGACAAATGTAGCGCAGTGAGTAAAGGTGCCCTTCAATGCGCGTTGGCTTGGTCTATGGCTTGATCTCAGGCTCTTCGCTGATCAAGCTTTCCGTCTCTTTGAAATCTGTAAAATGGTAGCAAATTTGTCTGGGAGGTTGAAAACACTGATTTTTAGTCGGTTGTCGACCGGACCGCCGGTCATTATAGGGGTTAGATATGAATTTGATCAGCTCTATAATGCAAGACGAAGTAGAATTCGTGGCGCATTTTGTAAATGATATCTGTAGAGGCCGTCGTTGCAAAATGACAGGTGCGGACTGTAGAGATCCGTCATCAAGAGCTTCGTCTACAAAGAAAATTGTCGTCTTACCATGGCTATTACATATGGTTGTGATTTACGATTTATGAGGACCAAATTCGGCGTCTTTCAAATTATATATATATATACATATATATATATGTATATATATATAATTTATATATATATATATATATATATAAGTACTCTTTCTAAGTATAATGGAAAAGCTTCGTGATTGCCTGGCTAAAAATGCAATGAACATAATGTGACAATCGAACTCCATTGTCTCTATAACTCAGAGAAAGGAAGAATGAGAGGAAGAAGGTTCAAAGCACCATTTTATTCATAGAGTTGCTGCCGTAATTCTGTTCGCAGCTTGTAAGTGGATAAATCATTCTGCATTGGTCTATCCTTGAAGGATGGGCCGTTGAGTTCTATTGGGCGTCGTAAAGGTGAAAATTTTAGCACACATAGTAATTTACGAATACCTAACAATGTATCAAATTTGCGATAACGAGCGTGGTCAGCCCAGTGAGCTTATCAAATTATCGACCGTGGGTTCAATATTTCAGGGAACCTCTAACCACTGCAGTACATCCCCTCAGTTTCAGCGTGTGATAAGTTATTATGATCGAAATGGAATGAATCGGCATCTATATGTTTTTGATCACTTCACTCTAGCCAATCTCAACGAAAGTTTGTCTTGATCACCATTACGAATCCAATGAATAATTGCCTAATTATTGCTGAAGCATTACGATCCATTTACTTAACATCGGTATAGAGAGTTCTACCAAAGAAATTGTAGGTTCTCCATTTCTAGGATGGAAGTCAACATCTTAAACGTGAAGTCAAGCTCAACTTATTTTCCCACGATACGATAGGCTCTCTGTTGGTGCTGTTAGTGAGATTTTGTGAGAAATCTGACCAGAAAACGGATACAATGTGGCTGAGCAAACAAAAAACCCAGAATAGGCTAATAAATTACTAAACCAGCAATTTATTACTGGCTTACTGATGTTAATTTGTCGACTATCTCATTATATTCACCTTTCATGCATGTCGTCGCTTCTCCAAATAGTCTACGACCATGTAAGCAGCCCTGTTTATACCTAAGTATGAAGAACAATACGAGTTAACCTTACCTAACAACAATCAGTGATGACCTCCGACAGCGTTATTAACTAGCACTGTGCCAATAGCAAAATTAAAAGCACATGCCGACCCAGTGGTCTCAGTCATTAGTATGCGGAAATAGGCCACCTGATGACATAGCTTACGCCATTCACAGTGGGAATCGCATTGGCCACATGATGACCAATGGCCTTTTCATAGAACAACTGGATCTTGGCAAACAGTATTAAGTCATTCCCATGACCGACTTTCTGTTAACCTCGGCATTAATTGATAATTCAATGTTTTTCATCAAGTTTCATCATCATCATCATCATTTATCAAGTTTTATCTGCTAGGGTTATGAAAGTGTTTGGCTGAGTAGATCGCATCTCAATTTGACCTTTCCAGGCTCTGAAGAAGGCGAAACCGCCGAAACGTCAGCAATTGTGTTCTAATAAATTCTATATTAACAACCTCGTGTCTGCTTATTGATGAAAAACATTGAAGTATTAAGTCAATTCTTTAAAATCTTTTTGGGCAAATTTAAGGCGTTATTTTATTCTTTATTACGACGAAGCTGAAATTTCGGTGGGTTTCGCCTTCCTCTGAACCCGGAAGGTTAAGTTGACCGCAATCTACCCAGCCAAACACCTCCATAACCAAATAAAGAAAATGCTAAGCCAAGGTTTAATCTCACTGAACCTCTAATACCTTCGCACACACATATCGCTTTCTACAGGTCTTCCACTGAGCATATCACGTGGAGACCAACACACAGGGTTCACATGGAGATGTAATGTGGTTCTCAAATTGAAATAACAGTGTTAAATACTGTCTGGTATCACATGTTATTGTGAGGCGTTTCTCTCGGCGGTTCATTTTCGGATTCCTAGAATGTGTCCCAAAATTCCTGTGTAAGGATGTTAACTTCTACATCAAAATCTTCTCCGTTATGTCTCTGTGTCCTTTGTGCGACTAGTGGAGTGTTTGGTATCAGCTATTACAAAACGTAATCACCTTCATCACCTGTAGTACCGTTTATCGCCGATTGACTCGAGCGAGCCTCAGTAAATCTTCTATTTTTCTCCGTCGGGTACAAGAGTAGCCCTGTGAGTCCTGCTCGCTCTAGGGACTCATCAAGTATCAAAACTTTCTTCTAGGCTTTTCGTGGATAACTCTGACCATCGGGTCGGTGGTCTTCCTGCAGTACGTTTGACATCCTGAGGAATCCAGTCACTAACAGCTCTTGTCCATCGGTTGTCATTCATACGCATTACGAACCTGCCTTATCTTCTACTGTTTGGCGTACAGAGCGGCATCTTTGATTATTGATCGCTGGAGGGTCGGAGCTTCGGATCTCTTTCCTTATTTGCGTGATACGCGGTATTCCTAGCATCGTCCTTTCGACTGCGCGTTCAATGAGACTGATGATTTTTCATCCTGTTTACGTAGCGACCAGGTTTCTGACGCATACGTTAACGCAGAAAGTACCGTAGAGTCAAAAAAGTGGGCACGGAGTCGGGTGCTCTTTTTTCTCTTCACATCTTCGTTGCTCTTGAAAACTATCGAAGCCGCTCGTTTCCTTCTGCTCAGCTCTGGAGCTAAGTCGTTTATAACACTGGTTTTCCGACCTAGATAGGCATAAATGGAGCACTCGGAGATATTCCTTCCTTTGTGCTTGAATTGGGCATACGGGACCAATCCGCTCCTCATGAACATCGTTTTTGTGAGATTTAGTCGACGATCAATCTTTC